AGAGACAGAGGAACAGAAAGCAAAAAAATCACACCCCATGGAGGATGGCCACCCCACAGTCCCTTCTCCTCCATTTTCCTCTTGGGATTTCGGGCATACACACACATGCTCCCAGTGTGAGTTTTAAGCAATTTTACTTAATGTTATTTCTTGTCTTTTGGGATTCTCTATCTAGTTAGCTTGCCAGGAGACTAGGGGCTAGTTATAGGGGGTACTTGGGCTACCTAATTTGGCTCTAGCACTACTGTTTTTTTCCATTTAGGTTACATATGACATGTGTCAAATATTTGTGTATATACATACATGTATGTATGTAGTCACATTTAGTATGTATATATATATATACATGTGTGTATATATGTGTATGTGTATATACACACACATATATGAGTTCTACTGGTGACAAAGTTACAGTTACTGCTATTAATATTGTGGTCTGTTACCTACATTCATATTGGGTCTACAGAAAAGTCATGATATGTTTTTCTATGCAAAAAATGCAGCATGACTTTTTGATGGCCTAAGACTTGGAAAAAAAAATGCCAACTTTTAGCTTAAGGTAAATGAAAATCAATATATAATTTAAATTTCCCCAGCCTCCTTCAGACTTCCAGAATTGTGCTGATGGACCCCATGGTGCTGAGGTTAAACCATTGCTCAAAGGGAACTTTCTTTATAAATCTGGGACATTGAGACTCTGAACCAAAGAATTATCTTAAACATTTGCTTCAAAGATGGCATCTTTTCTTATTTTCTAGCACCACAGAAAGGATTATTTTTTGAAAATGTCCCCTTCTGGTATTTCTGGCCTTGAGCGGTCACTGGAAGCCTGAATGCAAGCTGTCAGTGATGTTCCTTCTCTCATGTCCCCGTCTTAGTGCAAGCACTTGGCTGCTCAAGCCAGATGACTGGGAGCCCTACTCAGTGTCGTGGGCTCCGGATTTAGGACTTGGGTCTGGGGTTCGTAGTTCTCTAGCGGTAAAACCTTGGACAAATTGCTTGCCTGCATTTCCACCTGTGTGCCGGGATGGGCGTGGTGCCCTGCTGTAGGGTAGTTCCGAGCATTAAGTGAAATGTTCATGTGTTGCCTTAGAACAGAACCTGGCATGGGCGAGGGGCTAGGAAGTGTAATCCATTATAACTATCCTTGCTCTTTCTCTTT